TCCCATTTAATTAGTCCCACCTACCATTTAATAAAATTAAATAAAATTTAATTAATTCTTCCATGAATTAGGAAATAATTTTATTAATTGAAAATTGAAGTTGAAAGATGTTTTTGGTACTTTTTGAAGTTTAAGGATGAATTGGTTCAAAAATAAAAGTTGAGGGAGCAATTCAAGTATTTAACCTAAAAAATATGTTAGTCAGCATCACTATTCAATTAATCCTTAAATAGAAAAAGTTGAAAGTTGACATCTTTAAATATAAAAGGTTAAAAGTTGACATTTTTATTTAGAAACTGACAAAGTTAACATCTTTATTTAGAAAAAAATTAAAAGTTCACATCATTATTTAGAAATTGACAAAGTTAACATCCTTAAATAGAAAAAAGTGCAAAGTTGAAATCCTTATTTGCACCTTTACTCTTTAATTTTTAAGACAAGATTTAAATAAATTTTTAACATAGCAAATCATTGTTCATAGAGAAACTTCTTATTCATTTATGTAGTTCTTTTTGCTTAATAATAATTATATTAATTTGAACTTCTGACCTTTAAAATAAAAAACTTAAGTAAAATTTAACATAATATTTGATTCGACCAGTATTTTTGAGAGAAAATTAAAGTAGAAAGATATCACTGCAACAGCAAAGCGACAAAAGCTGTTAAAAAAAAAAAAACAAAAACAAAGCTGCAAAAATATGTCGGGTCGAATGAAATCGAGGAATTAAGTATTTAAGAGAAAGTGTACACAAATTTCAATTTAGTAAGGCATATAAGTTTACCATGTCACTAATTTTAATTTTCTTTTGCAGGTTTCATCATTTTGGTCCAATCCACAACATATTCTGCAATCTACGTTGGTTTTCTTCTCAAAATCCTCAAATTGAAGAGCACATGTTTTAGGCCTGCAGGTGCAATTCTTTGATTTCTAGATATTTTGATTATTTACTTCATATTCATTTTTCCTCTCTCAAAAAGCTTCAATTTTTTGATAGCTTGCAAAATTCTTCACTAATTATAGAACTTTCGTATATAGTACAATTATTTAGATTATATTATACTTTTTAACTTTTTAACTTTTTTCAATTATCCTTTTTTGTTTCTTACCTCTTAACTTAGTTTGCATTTAATGAAATATCTTAAACAGTTAAACGTCCATTTGTAATAAATTGAAGTCATTATATTTGATTGGATTGTTAAAAATAAATAATATTTAATAGAACAATTAATATTTATTTTTTAATAAATTAAAGTCAGTTTAGAAATTGATATTTTAAAAAATCATAACCATGTGCTTAAAAAAAAACCTACAAATATTAGTCAAATTAAATATAATTTTGATAGCCTTAAAAAAAAAAAATAAGTGGCCACAACCCTTGAGATTGATTTTCTAATCAAATTCACTGCTACGTTTAAGAGAGTAAGATAATAAGCAAAGCAATCCACATTAATTTGTTTGTGCAGGTGACATATTGCAGGATGAAGGATGCCTTGATATAAATTAAATAATTGGTAAGATGACTCTTGCTGTCTGCGTTTGATAATTAGGTAGTTTTTTTTTTTAATTTTTGAACAATGTGTCATGAGACGGGCTTGAACCCTACTTAAGGAAGAGGGGAGATGCACCTCAATGTGGTCAGAGATCAGTTCGGGCCAGGTGTAATAATTAAATAGTTTAATAATTTAAGTACACAAAAATCAAATCAAATTAATGAAATTTAGAGGAAGTTAAACTTGACTAATACACTAATACTAGCATTTTGGATCACAAAAGCAGAAGGCAATTTTATTTTTTTTTGGAAAAAATGAAACAATGAAGCAAAAGCAGAAGTAATAATTCAGTATGGCCGATTGCTGGCCCAGTTATCGCTATACATTAAAAGGTAGTGAATTATTTCCAAGTCCAATAATGCAGTGGGGCCACGGCCCAGTTCTTCCAATACAGAAAAGAGGTGGTGAATTATTGCCGAGTCCAATAATGCAGTGAGGAAAATTGC